AAAACAAAACAATTTTCCACGCGTGAAAGCCGGACTGCAACAAAACTAAAGAAGAAACAAAGCAAACCAAGTGATAAAAAAGATCAAAGTGAAAAATGAAAGTACAGGAAAATGCCTAAATTATTTCAATAAATTTTGAAAGAAAAAACGTTTTTTTAAATTGAATTGCGATTTCTTTCGTAATTTTTCCACACAGAGGCGAAGACGATCTTCGCACCACTTGCCAGACAACACAAACATAAACACAGAGGCGAAGCTGAGCTTCGCACCACTTGCGATACAAAACCCGAAAGCCGCTGAGTCTAAAAAAATCGAAAACTTCAAACTAGATCTATTGATATAGCTAGGTTCGAAACAACAGCGAGCCAAGACAATAGAAATAAAACTGGCATCGAAACCAAAGTGATCACACGGTGACAAAGCCGGAAATGCCTTAGCGACACCCTTTACGCCGATTTTTTTTTTTTAATTATCGAGTCCCTCAAACCTCAAACAAACACATAAAATTCACAAACTTTATCCACGCGTCAAATGAAACAACATACGGCCACATTGCTGATGCTATATTGGCCGAAACCTATTAAGCCGAAAAAAAACAAAGCCGAAAAAAAAACAAAAAAAAATCAAGACTACTAAAAAGTTATTAAGCCCTCATTTCCCTCAAAACACTAACACAGCTCGGGAAATGACACAATATGTAGCGAGTAAGCCGATGTAAAATCGGCCAAAACCTATCAAGAGAAAAAAAGAAAAGAAAAAAAAAACAACCTAAAATTTTCGAGACTTATAAAAAGTTATTAAATCCCCCTCGCCCTCAAAGTACAGATACGCACATACAAACTTTTTTGGCCCATCGAAAGGCGCCATATGCAGCCATTAAATCGATATAATATAGGCCGAAACTTATCAAGCCGGAAAAAAAACCAAAAAAATTGTTGTCATGAAAACCCTGAACTCTAATTTGTATTAAGGATTTCAGCATTTTGTACGACCCAGAGGTGAACATAAAAACTATGCGAAACCAATCTCTTGAAACCAAAAAAATTAGGCCACTAAGCCGACATAAAATACGCCCGAGTCTATAAAGCCGAAAAATGACAAAAAAAAACAAAAGTTTTAAAAAATCGAGTTGGAAACAAACATAAAAAGCAACGTATATGCTTAATCAACCATGTATAATAATTGCAACCAGGGTTGGGCAGGTCGCGAGGCCCAATCAAGTATGTTTGCTTTTTGCCCATAATCAGTGACTATCTCTAATCAGTGTCCTGCATAATTCCTTTTGAAGGGTTCCATTGCATCTCGGTCACTACGCGGTACGAACAGCAGACCTACCTTCAGTCAGTGTACAGCTCTAACCATCTGTTCCCTTTTTCGTTATGTCAAATATGAGGCAAGTTTTTTATCAATCGAGAAGCAGCATTAATTGACCACCAGCCTTTTGAACCTTTAAAAACAATCAAAAAATATCAGTGACCCTCACTGCAGGTCTCGAAATCCAGACGTATTGTTGATGATTCTATTGCTCCCAAAAATGGAACGACTACTGCTTAAATTTAAGCTTAAAAAAAGCCATTTTTTGTTCAAGTACAAAAAATGCAATCGTCTTCAATCGAGAAGCTTTTCAAAAGCTTTCAGTTTCGCTCAGTGCGGGGTTCGATCACCAGACCTATCGTTGTAGGTTTTCTCACTGTAATTATCTGAGCATTTAAGGATTGTGAACATGTGAAAGCTATTTTTTATCATACGTCAAAAATAATCCTCTGGTATAGTGAGCGATTGCTTTACTATTTCACTATCAGTTACTGGTATAGCCACAGTTAATGGTGTGAAGACACGAGGAGAGATATAATATGAAAGGATATAAAATCATTCGAACGATGAAGACAAAAAACAATCATCAAACTTAAATTTTCAACGATTCCCTGCTCGGTATATGATAGCTTATTTTGTTCGTTTCTTCATAACACATTTTTCATAAGAATTAGATAGAAATTCCAAACCAATCGAAGGAAAACTTTCAAAACAAAAAATTGACTGTTCTTCTCCGAGAATCGAACCAAATTCGCTGGCGTTATGATCATTTGGTTTACCATTGAACTGTGTTCGCTTGATACAGCGTGAAAATTAAACACAGGAAGCAAAAACAAAAAATTGAAAGCTTTTGTAACAGAGTCAATTAAATGGCCAAAAGACATGTTGAAAAAAGCCTTTAATAGCCTTAAATGCGTCTTATCTGATTCCCAATAAATCAACCTGTCAAATAGGGAACCCCAGTAAAGACCGCTTCTGTTCATCTTTCGTTTTTTGTAATTAATGCATCCATTCTTCTTTCTTTGAACAAAGACATGAAAAAAATGCGATTCTTACTTGGTTTAACAAAAAAAAACCTGAAAGGGAGACAAAATTAGATACGGTTAACTATCTTCGAGGAAAACTTATGAAAAAAAATTTTTGCAGGCTTAAAATTTTGCCACTTCAAAGCAACCTTTTTCTGGAGGCAGACATCTTATATGTTAGCGATGAAAAAAGGGTAAAACCGAATAATACGAGTTTTTTGATTCATTCCTGCTAAAAAAATGCTAGTTTTCATATTTTTTTTCTAAATTACTTGAAAAACGAGAAATTTTTTGAAAATCACTTCATGAATCGAACCTGGTTTTCCCTGGCTGGGAAACTGAAACAAATACACTTGGCTATGTGCGATGAGTTTTTGACCTAAATACAAAAGAAAAATCATTCTATGAAAAAATAAAATTTTTGCAGGCTTATAATTTTGTCACTTCAAAGCAACCTTTTTCTGGAGGCAGACATCTTATATGTTAGTGATGAAAAAAGTGTAAAACCGACTAATACGAGTTTTTTTTCATACATTCCTGCTCCTTGTCAGTGGCATTTGCAAGTTTTTGCTCTCTAAAAGTAATTTAGGCATTTTCACTCAAAGTTACAAGCTTAATTCAAATCGACCCCAGCAAAAAAATTGAGCAAAAAAATTTGATGGTCTCCGAATCTCGATCTGCCGAATTTAGTTTTTGGTCAATATTTTTACTACTGCACTATAATTGCTTGAGATAGCCTGTCAGTTTGATAGCAAATATAGGACGAGAAAAAGGAGCAGCCTTAGTTTTTGTCTCCTCGAAACAGCTCATTAACTGAATGATATCCTTGAAAACGGCAAATAAATATCTTTTTTAGTTTAGGAGATATTAATGATTGACTTCCAATCAATTTGAGTATACGCTTGGTAAAAACATTTTTCCTCATGGATGCAGATTCGAACCTGTCTAATCAGTTCGGGAGTGCACGACAGATAAACTCGACCACCGAGCTTTTTAACTCAGAGAATAATATTTCTTTAACTATTTCAATTCTACTGAATAAGCAAGTTGAGAAAATAAAAAATGAATAATTTTTGTCGTCGATCGCGATTTGAACCTGGTCATCCAGCGTAAGGGACTTAAGTATATACGCTCGGCTATGGTGGAAGTTAAAATACAAACATTAAAAAAGACCAAAAATCAATCCATTTTGCCTTCAATTCCCCGTTTTTCCCGCAAAAAAGTGGCTTATCTCCCATGGAAAAACTTTCCCAGACAACTCCCACTTAGGAGTTTTCCCTAGCTTGGGCACACTGGCAGCATGGAAAAACCGCATCCCAAAACTAGGGTCAGTTTAAAAGCTGCCCTTTTGGCGAAAAAACGCCAACCACCGAGAGGAGTAGGATTGGCAAAGAGGACGAGGAAAAAAAGTAGTTGTGAAGGAGTCCAGAAGTGAGTCCTGTGGACAAAGTTGTTTAAGGAGAAAAAAGTTTAGTACCCGATTGCAATACCCTTCCTATCGCAAGGGTTAAAACATCAGAAATCGAATTTTTTCAAATTGAAAAAATAGAACTGCTAAAATTTATATTTTCATATGTCTCTTGGAAGTTACTTCTTGGCAAAAATGCCAGACATTTGAATATTGAATTAGCAACGGAACAAAACTTATGAAGAAGAAACAAAGCCGACAATCTGTGAACAGACGCAAGTTGAGCAAAAAAAAACAAGATTAAAAAAAATCTTTCAAGTTTTAAGTCCCACCTGAAACTAGAATGAACAACACTTACACTTGCAAATCACAAAGTGAAGATCTTGCACTTAAGAAGTGAACACTTGCACTTAAGAAGTGAAGATCCTCTAGACGAGGAGATCCTTTAGAAGTGATCATGTGGACAAAGCTGTTTACGGGAAAAGTCTAGAACCCAAGTACAATACCCTTGCATATCGCAAGGGTAAAAAGCTTGAACATCACTCAACCTCGTAAGACATGCCTTCGAGGTACCTGCTTTAGCATTAAAATTGAACACGCCCGAGGAACTGCAAGAACAGACAGATGCAGTAAAAGTAACAGCATAATCTGACCCGAGTTAATTTTGCAAAGACAAATATTTTGGGATTTTTTTGGAGAATACTTCATCCCTCTTGAAGTTGGACGTGAAGCAAAATTCAGTTTCATGGCGTTCACTTTTTAATTCTAATTGTTGATTTGAAGCGGTTCAAATGAGAGTATTAATTTAAATCAACCAAATATGGCTCTTATAGTAAATCCTACAATTTCAAGCCACTAAAACAAATTTATTGAAATTCAATTGTACAATCTTCGGCGAACAACTTTTAATTTAATTCGACTCGATTAGACATTCCTAATAACTTTTGAAAGCAGGATTTTTTTATGTTCAACGAATTGTTTTTTTTTTGTTCGGCTGGGAATTCTAAAACAGCCAAAAGCTGACGTTTTTTTGAGTTGCGTAGAAGAAAAACTACATTATATGGCTATTTACTTTTCTAAGATATTCTAGGTTTGATACTTCTTGATAAAGCTATCCCAATTTGAAAAAAAAACTTCATTAACAGGTGATTAATCTGCAGGGAAATCTGGAAGATTCACTTTTTTGCGCCATTCAGCGTGCAGAACCAAATTTCATTTCATTAAGTTCACCTAGTAGTTGGACTGGCACTTCATAGAAAATGTAAGAAGAATTCAATTCAACCTAGACACTCAAGCAAGACAAAAACATAATTTATAAATCTCAAATCAAACCAAATAAATTACAGCAAGTCGGGTTTAAAGTTTCTCATCCGTTAATATTCCATTTCGAGTTTACGCAATGTCTAACTGTTGTTGCTTGTTTACTTTTTCCGCGTAATTTCTTAAAAGCTGGTCAATTTGTCTAATTTGCGCACTCACAAAAGACGACGACTGTAGTTCTTGATTTTCTTTCTCGGGAGAATTTTTCGAAGAAAACAGTTCGTTCAATGCAGCGTCGACATTTAGAATTCTATCTATCAGAGCTGGAGGAAGAGCTTGCAACGTATCCATCTGAAATGACTTTATCTGCAGAACTTTCTCGTCGCTGAAATCTCCCATGCCTGATTTCGGATTTTCTAGCACGGCGGGAGAATTATTTTGGGAAAGTTTTCCTGATTTTGTTTTCATAGAAGATCCCATTCTGCCACTAATATTAACTGGACTTTTATTCGAACTAGACAACATTTGTCTCAGATGTCTAAAATTCACGCTATTGCTCTTCACGAACATTTCAGGGTCAAACCTAGTGAAGTAGTAATCCAGATGACGGTACAACACAAATGAGGCTGCTTCCATTACGTAATACAATGCTTGAATTTGCTCATCTTTTTTAAACAGTAATGCCACAAGGGAGTTTTTAATTTTGTTGATATTTTGCTCCTGAGAAAGCAACTTGTAAGCGACTGGCAGTATTTGGTCTTTCAACTGCTGACCATCCTTGTCCGAGAACTTAGCCACTTCTTCGTCGGTATAACGATCCTTAACTAGCAAAGCTTTAAAATCATTTCTTTCTTCCAAAAGAACCAAAAACTCTTCAATAATCTGTGAACATAATTTAAGCAAGACTCCCATATTGCTGTAATCATTAACTCCTTTGTTTGTTTCGACTGTTTTCGCGTTCGGCGCTACGATACTAGGGAAGAACAAAATCTGGCTCAAGCCTTCCGAACTAGTTGAACCGTTCATTACACTTACAGTATGACCATTAACATAGGTAATCAAACTTGCTATGATAGAAATCAACGAACTTCTCATCTGTTCTTTTTCGAACAAATTGTTAACGCTTCCGAGAGCATTTTCCCATTTGTCCAAATTACCAAATAAGGAAAGAGCTTTAAGCAACTGTTGGTGAAGTTTCCGCATCGCTTGCTGCACATGAACAACAGAATGCGATTGCTCGTCGTCCAATAGAATAGATCCTTTCATTGCCGCCGCGCTTATCACTCCACAAGCAACTCTGATTTCTTTTAAATCGCCTTTCTTCAGACTTTTGAAATCTTTGCATGCCAAAATGTCCAGAAAAATCTCAAAATGGGCCACTATGAACTGTAAAACCAAACTAGCTGCGTCTTGATGACTTGGCGGTAAGGTGGTCAAAATATTATGGCACGATTCTAAGAGAGGTATTAACACTTGTCTATGGGCAGCTAACTGAACATCCAACAAGCTCTTCGACTTTTGATTCGTGTTACCGGTTTGGTTTCCATTGGCAACGGGTCGCGCGTCGATGAAGGTAAGCTTACCTAAAGTTTCGATGAAGTTACTATGGACTAAAGCGGAAGCTCCTTTTCCATTTTGCGCTAACTTAGAAATCAGGCAAAATTTTGCGTTGTTCATTAGATAAATTGCATCGAACGGATCCGCTTTTTGAAGACTTTCAATCATCGCAATATTATCTGTTGAGATTTCCATGACCATTTTTTGAATGAATCCCTCTCGAATCATTAAATCCGAAATTTCCGATCGTTCGTCAACTTCAACTAACTCACAAAACACCGAAAGTGCAATCGTTTTTTGTACTACATGTCCTAGAGAGCTGTCTGAAAACAAACGTCTCGAAAACTTTTCTCCGAAAGTTTTCACGACGTTCCAATTCTGCAATCTAGCCATCTCCAATTCTTGTGTTCCGTCAATTTCCATATTTTCGGAAACAAAGAGTCGCAAGAACGACAAAATTGCTGATAATGTGTTAACACACAGCGACTCTTTCCTATTTGAATCACCATAGATATAAAACCTGACCAAATTTCTCAGCAAATCGCTAGCAGTTGATTGTAACTCAAGAGCTATTTGTGTCGAGTCTATGTTATTCAATCCTTCGCCTCCGTGTCTGAAGAAATCCAAAATCTTCAAGGCCAATCTAGTTATCAAAACGGCAAATTCTGAACTTATTCCTTCAACATTTAATGAGGCACAAAGGAAGTCTAAAATTTGCATGACTAGGTATTTTTCAGACATCAATTCATGCGGGGCAAACATGAGGCAAATTGAGAATAACTCACACCAAGATGTTAAATAGGCCATTTTTGCTAGACTGTCATCTTTGCGTGCGTTCTCTTGACTGGCAAAAGCCAAGACATACTCGATGTCATTTATGAGCAGATCCTTCTGACCTTGTGAAATCTGCAGACTCGACACGTGATCAAAAAGATACTTGTGAAGTTTCCTGACGTCAAAATAGGTCACACCTTTCAAATCTTTCCTCTCATGTTCGCACATTATAAAAGCTGATTCTAATATCTCCCAATCAATTTGCAATTCAGCCTGCTGCCCGGATCGAAAATCAAACTCGTCCATTATTGATTTCAAAATCCAGGGTTTCTTGGATTGGCCTGTTGGCTCCATTCCAGATGAAGTTACATCGTGCATCAAAGAAGACACGCCGATAGAAAAGTTCAAAACTGAACTAGACTTAGATGCCTCGTGGAACATTTTCGAATGACTTGGCTTGTCGAATATTGCCGAGAGCATTTTGGAAACTGTACTCTGTTGCTTCAGAGCACAACAGTTTTTGAGATCGATAGCGAAGCTTTTGATCAACCATGAGTTCGCGTTTGTCAAATACGAAATCACTTGTGGGTCACTTTGATTGGCGGATAAAGTAGCAAGTTCTACAATGTGTCGGCAAAGAAACCAATCAATATTTTGTAACAGTCTCAAAGTGTGCGAGGAAGAATCGGGCAAAACGCTCATTTTGTAGAGAATCTTGTAGCAAATACAAACAATTTTAGCATCTTCGTTGCTCATCTTCTGACCCGGTTCTGCGATGAAATTATCCAAAATATACGTTATCGCATGTAATGCATTAATTGATGCAACTAGAACTTGGTTTTGTTTCCTGCCATCTTCTAATCCCAGAAGATAGTGGCCAATAGTTGCCTTTGGAAAATCGAGCAAGGAGCAAATATACTCCAAAACATGCATCGCTGAGTCAGGATCGGAACTGTAATCTTCGATGATCGAAACAATGCATTGATTCAACATTGAGGCAGTAACTGGTTCTGAAAGCAAATACTTGAAAGATCTAGTTTGGTTCAGACTAACTTGCGCATGTAGCATTAAAACTTCAGTTGCCGCAAGTCTCACCTTCAAATGCTCCGAAAATGATGCTCCAGTGGTATGAATAACTAGTTTGAGGATGTTATGTAAGTGGTCATGGATCCCAGCTTTCGAATTCAAACATTGTAGTAGAGAATCCATCGACATGAAGACGTCTTTTTTGTACCCTTCACTACATAATCGAAGAAATCCGTCCTGAATTTGCAATGCACGTGAAATGACTGACAAAGACTTTTCGCAACTTTCGAGCATCGTTTTAATATCGCTCTCCTCGCCGCTCTGAAGTGTCTCTAACTTCTGCGTAGTTTTTTCAATGATGAAAAATAGCTTTTTAGTCAAAACTGAATCTTTGAACAACTGGCTCACTAATTGAACAGGAAACGTCTGAGGATCGTGCCCCAAATTTTCATTCGAAATCTCTTCAGCGGGGTCAAAATTATCGACAACAGTTTTCACGACGTCAAGAACAACTGAGGGTACTTCATAAACATGTTTCGCATCCTCGTAGAACCGCGTGTTGAAATGGTTCAACAATTTATCAATCAAATACGACAGCAAAATTTGCAGATTATACTTTCTTGGACTATACTTCAGGATTTTATTGATGAATGAGACGAAACTGATTGATAAATTATAGCATCCTTGCTTGGTTTCAAATTCTTCCAACTCTTGTATGATTCCTGAGTTAGATACCTGACATAAATTGGACGAAAGTTCAATGAGTTGATACTTCTCTATACATGCCCACATGTTAGGCGCATACTTGGGTGCACTGGCAATAGCCGACAGAAGCTCCATGCACTTCGCTTTCAGAGATATCGGGACCTTACACGTTATGAGTCCAAACAAAGTATAAACAACTTTCAGCTCTGAATTCTCGACCAAAACTTGAATCGCACGTTCGCTTTTCTCGCAGACTTTTATGAGCAAACCTAGCATACTTTCAATTCCTTTGATTTCTATAGGACTTATACTTTGGTTTGTAAGTTTCTGGGGGTTTGGCATAGAGTAATAGGTTGTGTTTTGCAAAGCATTCGTTGGCACGTTTTTCACTGCCGCTCTCTCTTCGCGCATACTTGAATAAACTGCATGAACGGTTTGGAAAAAGTGATGAAAAGAAATGGTTGCATGCGAAGCGCTTTGTCGAGCTGCAAACATAAATTCAACACACGACCAGGCTGCGTTTTCAGAGGCACTCAAAGACGAAATCATATCAATCACTGGCGCGTAGAGAAAAGGAGCCACATAATCACAAGCTGATAGACAGAATTTATTCAACGACAGATACCTTTGCGTGTTTGAAACTGCCTTTGACGGACTGTTAACATAATTTTCGTCCACTTTCCAAAAATCGTCGCACAGTTTTTGATCTTGTTGGCCGTTATAAAACAAAGTCATCAGTTTCAAAAGATTTTCATAATCATTGACTAAATCAGCGGGAGGTGTTATACCTTCGTTTAAATAAGCTGCAATCGTTCTAGCTACTTCGTCGCCATGGTTTCTCAAGTCTCTTATTTTCAAGGGGAAATACACGATGAAATCGGTTATCATCAGATGAAATCTGTGGACTCGAAACTCATCGGCAAAGAACTCTTTTGCAGAAACTATCAGCTCCAGGTAATTGAACACTTCAGAAGCTATAGCTTGGTTGATTAACCATTCGTCTTCGTCACGACAATCTGCGCACGAATTTGGCAGCTCGTTTTCCATACCTAGCTTCCGCAACGACACAGCCCATTTTAGGTACAGAGTCGAGAAAATTAACCTAGTGGACTTGTTGACAATTGTCTGGTTTTCCACAAATGGAGGATTTGCCACCAACTGATTATGCATGGCTTGGATGAAAGTTTCCTCATTAATATAATCAAAAGCGTGAAATAGAGAAAATATCAGATTAAGGTGCGGAATATTGATTCTTGTATCTGGAATTTCGAATAACTTTTCATCCGTAGTGTTTTTCAGGAACTCCAAAACTTTTAAAGAGTCGTTTACAGACATTTTTTTCTGACAGAACAAATTACTGATAATTTCAGATAAACCTACAGAAATATCAGATAGCATTTCACATAACATTCTTCGATGTTTCAGATCTCCGAGCGCCTTTTGTTGTCGAAGTTTCTCAAAAATTTCATTTTTATCGAAAGTTTTCATTGTTTGTAGAACCTTAGCTACTAAATCTTCGTTAACCAAATCTGTGACGTAACTATCTAGGAAAGAGCTAACGTCATCAGTGACGTCAGCAGACCAGGTGAGTCCGGAAATGGCTTTCGTAATTAATTTTAGCGAGTGGACAACACTAAGTTTCGAGTCGAAATACAACATAACTGCAATCAATCCTCGGCTCCAGGAAGGGTATCTGGGCTTCTGCGCTTCAGCCATTTGTAGCAACTCAGCTGCTCGTAGCTCATTCAAGTTGAACAAATCACTTAAAATGACAGATTCTTCGATGAAATCGGAATCTAACACTTGAGGTTTCGTCTCACTTTCAAAGTAAATTCCATCCTTAGAGGCGCTTGCTAACACAGACCTATGTTTAGCATTTTTCGCTTCAGGGTTCTCCATCAAACTAAGGAGAAACTGTTTCTGTTTCCTGATATCCCGCTTCAAAGTGGGTAGCTCTTTGTAGTTCTGGTTGATAAGAACCGACTTCAGCAGAGCGGAAAGAGTTTTAGCTTGTTCGCAGAAGTTACACCCTTTGTGCAGTTTGACAGCTGCTGTTGCGCCACCATTGCCAGTCGTCAGATTCAAGGTCATGTTCGAGTCTTAAAAGAAACCGATACAAAAATAAAAACTCAGGGAACGAAGTTATATAAGATCAATCGAATGCTCCTTTCTGAAAGTTTACTAGCGCCTGAGCCGCCCCTACCAATCGAAGTGGCCCCTAATGAATGCTCTTTTGAATTCATTCAGCGCATGAACTGTATATCCAAAGACTAACGCTTTGCACCACTTGCTATTCAAAAATGATGAATATGATTGAAATCAAGTGAAAAAAAAAAAAAAAACTTCAAAAAATCGTTTTTGTCAAAACAAAATGGCAAAAAGCTAAAAATATCCGGATCAAAATTACCTGCACCCATAAAAACTGAAAAAGAGCTCTCCGAATGCTAGACCTTTCAAAAAATTCTTTCTGCGGGAACTACGTCAGCAAAAATAAGCAGACAACATCTAAAATAGCCGAAAATTTCAATTTGAAAAGAAACAGGTCCCAACTGGAATCGAACTCCTGGACTCTGTCATCATCTCAAACTTCGTTGTTATTGCAACTAGGAAGAAAGCTGAAACTTCAAAAAAAATTGGGCAACGTGAATCACGCCGACAAAAATCGGCAGAAGGACGATAGCCGAAAAAGCACAAAAATTCAAGTTTGCAAAATACATGTCCCGGTACGATTCGAACCACAGGCTTTTGCCGTCTGAAGCAGTTACCTCCACTCCACATGCGCTGGATGTTAGACTGAGTTTGAAGTTATAATCAGAAACCATGCATTCGAAAGAAAACTGAAAATAAATTTTTAAAAAATCAAACAAAAAATCGCTTAAAAGTTTTTTTATTTTCAAACTGAAAGCTTTAGCGCGTATTAAAAATCATGTTAAAAAACGCATATCAAAAAGCCTTTCATGCTGTTATTTCTTCGAATTGAATATTATAATCAATTGAAAAGAAATTTCTAAAAAACAACCGGCAAATAAGCCGATAAAAATTGAGCTGAAATCAATTAAGTTATGAAAAATTTTTACATGTGAAATTTTTTTTACCTGTAGATCCTTTTATGCATTAGCTCTAGACACGATAATTCGAGAGATTAAACGTGCAACGTGGTGAAAATGGAGATCATCCTATGGGAAAAACTAGTACCCGATTTCAATACCCTTGCTCATCGCAAGTGTAATAAAATGCTATGAAAATCTAACCCTCAAACAGGCTGGGCGAATTAGATAGCGTTTTCTAATTTATAATCTGAACATTTTAAATTGGATTGAAGTTTTAGGTTCCCCAATTTTTTAAATTTCAGTGAGAAAAGCATTCATCTTCCTGATTCGTTTTGTTACACTAAGTCAATTACTGGACCTGCCCAAATTTATTAACAATTATCTGGCTATAAATCTGAAACACTAATATTTTTGAAATTTTTCAAAAATTTAATATACACATTTTTCTATAACAACTGGATGATATGCTTTGATCCCAAATTTCTAAAAGCTTAACTTGCTTGACACTATACACAAGGTCTAATTTGATATATCACTAAACCCTTTCCGGTGATTTTTCGTGGAACCTGATTTTGCGTGGACAACAAAGAAACTAAAACACTCCCGAAGACAAAGTTACCCCCATTTTCAATTCGAAACAAGTACAGAATCTTTTAATGTTAAGCCATAATAGCAATACATGTCATATATAGTTCAAGTAATATTGGTTGAAAAATATACGCCGATACATTATACTTTCCAAGTTCTGCATTGTAAAAAAGGGAAACACTGAGGTTAATCCATTCAATCTTTCAATCTTCAAAAGATGAATGATCAAAACACTATAATAAACAAAGAAATATATTATAACTTTATCCTGTCAACATTGGAGGGATTTTTAAGCATGTGTCATTGGACACGCCAATTACATGATATAAAGGTTCATTTCTCTTTTTCTTCTTTATTAAAATTGAATAAGCTCTACGAGAGCAACCCCCCCCCTCAAGTGACAAACCGTTGAGTGTCCTCCCCAAGCATGTATTAACTCTGGAAAATCGTTCCGCATAAAATATTATGCAACTCTTACATACGCGCAAATAAAATCGTTTTTTCAAACGTTTTTAATGCGGGATTGCATTTGTCAGATGTTAATCACCTAGATTAAGGTTTTAACTCAATTTTCTTTTGTAATGCGATTAATTTTGAATGAACCTAGGCTATACTCAAAGTTAGCTTATGAAAAATCCATACTTGCTTTCCCGCATTAAAAACATATTTGCTTTCCCGTATTAAAAACCATAGTTGCTTTTATTGAGAAAAACATTCATCTTCCTGATTCGTTTTGTTTGACTAAGTCAATTGCTGGACCTGTCCAAATATATTAACAAAGATCTGGCTATAAATCTGAAAAACCAACATTTTCGTGCAATTATTTACGAAAAAAAGTCAAGTGCCCGGTTGCAATACACTTGCTATCGTATGTGTAAAACAACTAATTCAAATTGAGAAAACTGGATCAACAGGTAAGGTTTTTATTCCGCTGGAAAACCTTGAAACTAACATCCAATTTCGAAACTAGAAGTAGATCCACTTTTTCGTGAACTTCATTCACACTTTCGCTGTTCGATAGTGGAGTTTACCTTTCTTTTAATAAATAGAATGAAGTGAAAAGCAACAATTAATCAAAATTTGAGCATGATTAAATGTTAAGACTTTTCCTGAAAAGAAATCATCACGAAGTATATAAAAATCTCAGCTACGTTCATCGAATCTTAAACGTATTTCTTAAAAGTATCGGTGTTTTTGTCTTCTTTTTTTTTCTTTTGCTCTTTAAAAGCCAAGTTAGCCTTTTATTTAGCGACTCAGTTGAAGAGGAATTGGAAACTCAAAAAGTCGAAACACAATACAGAAAGAGCGTGATTTTTTCCTGATAAATTTTTGACCAAATAAATGGAAATTCGCTTTACTAATTAACACATGAATGTGCATACCAAGGAGACTGGTCTGATCTAGACTGTGAATTTCATAACGAGCAAAACAAACAAAACGAAAGCATTTTGGCGGGTAATAGAACAAATTAGGCAGTGAACGAATAACTTTTTAAACGATTAACTTACTTGCCCTCATATCGAACGCTAAAAAGACTGTGATTCAATAACCGACTAACATCTTTCTTCCAATTGGTGCCTTGCTTCTGCTTTACTGCCTCTCGTAATTGCCTATTAATTTCACTATCTGAATCAGACCCGTTTGCTTGCCATTCACCCATTTGAAACACGCAGGATGCTTTAATCAATGCAATTAAATAGCATTCGATATTTGACAATTTTCAAACGAAGCAGCCACTTCGTAGTTTAATAAAGAGGCGAAGCTGCACTTCGCAAATGCAAGTTAAGAAACGACAAGAGCAGCTCTAAAATTTTCGAACACCCAACCTCGAGATTCAGAGTAACACATCCTCGCATCTGCGCCATGGTCGCTTGACAATCGTCAAACAATAGCCATCGATAAACCAGATACACAGATGCTAGTTAATTGCCTATTCAAATGAACAATTTTTTTTGCGACTAGGTTGGATTCGTAATATAACAAGGACTCGTTATATAACACTACACTCGCTAGCTCGCACTACAAAAATGTAAAACCCGTTTATAAACTTATACAACATTCAAAACATTCTGGGATATGAAAACATAGTTTATTCGGGAAAACTCAATCACTTAATTTCTAAAACTATTTAGAGATAATATTTCTTTTTTATCTTTTCAAGTCTATGCTCAAATGCAAACACAAAGGACACTGGTTGTAAAGACAACATCAAACATAAGACAAACAAAATAACAAATTCTTACAGCAGGTATTTGGTAATAGGCTATACCTAAATTTTCGAAGTTGCACGAACAGATGAATTGCTACCAGTTGGGCCATGAAGAAAATGAAATTCAAGATATCGCTAATTATGCCAACTATTGTCCAGTGACTGACTACTGCACTAGCAAGCTAAAACTATCTATAAAGACAACCCCTCGACCTGTTTGACAATTTCATTGCCTTTGACGGGGGTTATAACAGGCTTGTGAGACAACCTTGTTGGGTTATTTTTTCTCGAGATATACTTCTTGATTTGCAGCTGCACACCAAGAGGCAGTCCCATCTTAATCAAGAGTTCCTCGACTTCTTCTGAGTCCAAACTGAATAAAATGCTATCATGAATCATTGAGTGTTTGAATCCAGGAAGAAACTCTTCTAACTTCAGAAAATTCAACATTTTGGTAACTTCGTCGAAAGCTTGGCTGTCTAGTCTTTTAAAAGTCGACAGATAAAGTTGATGAGGAGTCACTTCGATATTTTTAGCTTTTCCGCTTTTCTTTTTCACTGAAAGCATAAACGCTATGACTTCATTCAAATGATTAGGCGAGACTAAATCACTCAGCAAAGCAATGAATAGTCTTTTCCTTTCTGTCGGCAAAGTTGTCATAATTTTTTTCAAAGCCACGACGTTGTCTTTGTACAATGCTTCAATATATGGCTGAGCTTTGTCCTTATCAACTGACCGAATCGCAAATGTGAACAATTTTTCCACATCCGGAGAAATTTTTGAATTTGATTGCTTGGTCATCTTGGCCAGAATTCTTGCAGAGCTTTCACAAGACGATAGATGATTCAAAACGGCTGTTAAATTTTCAGAATTTTCACTGATGAGATCGTAATTATCTAATATGAAATTCAGGATATCGTACAAGATCTGAGACCTGGATTTCCGCTTTTCAAGAGGTAGAGATTCGTTCAATGCAAAAAGTCTCTCAATAAAGACAGCATTGATTTGTTCTGGGATTAAAAAATCCAAAGTTCTCTCACATGGATGTACCTTGTCCGGTGTCGATAGGATTACGCTTTCTGTAATGATATCACTAGCGGATTCAATCGGAATAAAGTCACCTTCTTGAACACTGCCAACAACATCCAAGTTCATTCCTATGCTCATTTCGCCTGAAAAAGAGCAATGATTGTTGCTTCACGAAATAAATGACACGCAACTTCATTATTTTTGACTGTAATTATTGCTCCGATCCACCAGAAACTATGTCCAAGGAATTGGCCTTTTAGTCCCATTCCGCTTTTAAAAGTGAATTTAAACACAGAGGCGGAGCTGATCTTCGCATCACTTACGATACAAAATTCCATACAATGAGATAAATTTTTGCAATTATTTGTGAAAGAAATAAATCATTTTTTAAATCTTAAAGTTGCGCGATCAGATAAAATCCTAATATATATACATTAAAACATAGCCAAAAGACAGTTGGAAAAGAGTGAATGAACGCTTAAAAAAACAAAAACAATTGCCTTGTTTTTTTGAAACATCAGCTTCCGATTTTCAAAGAAAATATGAGGCCTAAAAGCTCTATGTGTTTCAAGAGCAATTTATAATTGCCATTTTTCGATGAAAAATTAACCCAATTTGAGAAAACTGGATCATTAGAAACACTTTTTACTCCCCTGGGAAATCTAAACATTATATTCCACTTTCGAAACTAGAATTCGATCACGTTTTTTTGCGACATTTCAGCTTTCATTATTGGAGAGTGCATTTTGCCTACTTTCTAGCAAATAAATTTGAATTCAAATCAAAAATTGGACATATGACTAAGGCCACTCACATGCGCAAGTACGAATGCACTTCTTTTGTTATTAGAGCATTTTAAGACTTTTCCTGAGAAAAAAACGAACAAAAAAGGCATTATTCTGACCAAGAGGAAAAATTTTACAGAAAAATAACTTAGTTAAAAAAATAATAAATTATCAATTGTCAAGTCAAAAGCAAAAACTATTCAATTGTCAATTCGAAAGCAAATTGACAAGTCATAAAAAACCGTGCGCGTCAACTATGCCGACAACAAATAAGCTGACAACCGATAAACCGAAAACTAAGCGTTAAATTTTTGTCTTGCAAAAGACCAGTTCGTATCCGGATTCGAACTCTAAACCATTATCTTGCCTACATGTACATGACTCCTACGACAAAGCTGCAGAACCAGAAACTTCACCAGAAAAAAAAACAGACCATATAACAGTGTTATCAGATACATTCGAGCTACCGATGTCGTTGAGTAGACGGCAGTGATCAACAGTATCGAAGGCTGCAGTCAAGTCTAGGGCGACCATTGGTGTCTTTGATATCGTTTTGCTTTGTTCAGACCAGCTTTGATGTAGAATGATATTCAGTTAAGGGCAGTACTAGTTGATCTTTTTCAAAGGCCGTGCTGATGTTCACGAAAATCTGTTCAAATTAAAATCAGGTAGGGTAAGCAGTTTTCTGGTATGATTACATTACTCAGTGAGATTCTTTTTTAGCTTACTCAAAAATTAGATTGCTTTGCCATTGTAATGTAGATGAATTCGTGCTTGATGGCTTGTTTTCCAACGAAATGTAGATATATTGGTGCTATGTTGTCTGATCCGAGCGCTTTGCTTTTCTTACAAGTTTAATTCATCTTCCAGCATTTTCATGGAAACGTTAACTTTTAAATTTTAGTTCCTTTATCTTGAGTATAACTGCTCTTCTTTATTTTTGTTTGGGCGCGGATTGAAGTGTTGATTGAAACTGTTTAAAAAAATTCGGATGTTGTGAATTGGTTCAACATCAAAAAGTATGGGCGTGTTTCTTTATGTTTTGGCATTGGTGTTCGATAGTCCTCTGACTGTAGACCAGATTTTACTTGTTGCCCCTCGATGGTCAACATTTTTGAGAAACTCAATCCATTTAGACTTTTTGATATTTTCGACTTGTTTATAAATTTTCCGGTTAAGTTCACTTACTTTGGGAGCTCCAGGGTGCTGTTGTTGGAGTTTTTCCTTTTCTTATGAAAGTTTGAGAGTTTCGGTTGGAAAGTTGGGCTTTACTTCTTAAATGCATCCTTGAGGTATTTGTCTAGATGCCGCGTGGCAGACAATTTTCCGGAAAACTTTCCAGCCTTCGATGGCTGATTTGGGCAGTGGTAGTTTTGGAAAGGCTTTTTCGCTCTCATTTTGAATATGTTTCCTTTCCAGTTTGCTTTCTTAAAATTAATGTTTTTGTATGTTTATCAGTTTGAATTTCACAGTTGATTTCCGAGGTGATGGCAGAATTATCAGACTCAATTATGTTGTTACAGTACCAATATGTGGAAAATGCAAAATTTGATGTTGCTAAGCTAATGTCAGGTGAGCTAACGGTGTCATTCGTTTTCCTGGTGGGTATGTGCTCGTCGAGTACAACGAAGTCGGACGAAACAATTTCTTCTTCAAACTTCAAGCCGCGCGAGTCGGTTTATAGTTCGAAGAACCACAGAGCATTATGTGCATTGGCATCACCTAATAGTTGTTTTGCATGTGTTCGCTAGTCGATTTTGAAGTGCCACAGTGTATCCAGGACAGTGTATTATATTATCTAACTTAGGTCTTAAGCAGGTTGCATTGAGTTGTACGACTTTAAGTTGATGCTCAATTTGTGGTGGGGATGGCTTGTTGTTTGTTAAGGGTGTCACTGGGGTTAAATTTACAGTAGTCACATTGCCCATAGTAAAAACTGCGTGACCATTGGTTTATATATTTGAGGGTGGAGCATTTTAGGTAAATCCAGCCTCCGAAGCGGCAACATACACTATATTGATTGACTAAAATTATGGTGTGACAGATGCTACCGCTAGGGCCTGGGTTAGGTTCTATCCGCTGCGGAATAGTAGTGTGAGAACTAGAAGTCCAGCCATTAGCAAGAACATGAGCAGGTAGGCTGGTTTTGGCTGCTCGTTTAACAAAACCATTTGTAACAAAACTCGTTCTCTTTGTTCTCTCGTTTTCTCTCATGTTCCTGTTTCTCTTTCGTCTCTCGCTTTCCTTTTCCCCTTCTCTCTCCCTTTCGCTCTCTCGCAAAACTCTGTCTCCTTTTCTGCCTTTGGTTCTTGACACTAGACCAGTGTAGTGTGAATAGAATTTGGGCACCTCTGAGTTGGGGGTGCGTGGTCTAGCCGCGTTGAGGCATCCATTCTTTAAAAAATTGATATCACATGAAGAAGTCGCTTTTCTAGACAATTGCGATAACTTCTTGCCCGTATTTTGAAAATTAAAAAAAAGCTGAACAATCCAGAGACTGAGTTGCACAAAAAGGTCTGTCCAGAACTCGAGCTAAGTATATTTCGGACAAATCATTCACATACCTTCTACGCCGGCAAACTCTGCGCTACCTGCTTAGCAAACTGCTACTATCTTTTCCCTAATTTTAGAATGGATTTAAAACAACACACAAAAAATTTATTGAGGTTGAAACTATTGCACCAAAGTGATCGTGAAATTAGTCCCGCACCTGGGATGGCTTAGTTAATAATAGTGACATCAAAATCATCAAAACCAGGTGTAACTAATTTTTTTTAAAATAATAAAAACGTATGTACAAATTTCTTGGTTATAATTGCAATCAATTACAGCACGTTATGTATAGCATCATATAATTGATTTTGTGTAAATACATACAATTAATATATATAATCTCGTTCTCTCAGGAAGACATCTTAGATAACAGTGGTTTAAAACCTAATTTGTGAGGTAGTATTATTGTGATTTATGCTCGAGCTCTTCACTTTTTTTGGTCCGTTCTCTACGTCTTCAATAATTTCGCTCTTCTCTCCCTTCAACAGTTCGATTAATTCCTCAAAACTGTACACGTAGAAACTGCAAAGTTTCTTCACAGATTCCCTAGTTACGTTCCCACCAAAACCAATGAATGCGTCCTAAAAGAAAAAATTTTTCAATAAGATGAGCTTAACTTCGATTACCCAGCAAAAGCATATCATCTGTTCAACTGCTTGCAAAATAGCCCTTTCTTAAGAACTGAAAGCTATTTTTTCGAAATTTACTGGGTTTTTATATCATCTTATTTCATAATAAACACAGAAAAAATCTTGAGCAATTAATTCTTACCGCAGGCGGACACGCCTCTGCATCTGTGGCTCCATCTCCGACCATGATGACATGTCTATAAATCTTCCTCTGTTTTAAAGCCTCAATGGCCTTTCCTTTTCCTCCTGCCTGGGATGTAGGCTGCTCTTCGTCAAATCCTATATACTGTCCCTTTTCGTCAAACAGTAGCCTGTTCGCAAACACGTTCTCTTCGGGAATGCTCAACAACCTTGCGACAGGAAATATCAGCTGGTCAAAGCCTCCTGAGATTAGATAAATGTCAACTTGCATTGAGTTCAGAACTTCAACGAGGCGCCTAAAAGGAATAAAAACCTTCGACATGGTTTCAGGTTCGGTGTATAATTTTATAAACAACTAAGCCCGAGGACCATAGATAATGAAACAGATTTGCGCAAAAACTGAGGCGTGACACCTTCAGTCAATTTAAAGTTCCTATGCTAGACTTTCTTGTCAAGATGATTTTATTCAACAGAAGTCAAATCTTTTTACAATAATCAATTCGTCACCACAAACCTAACTCCATCAGTGAGTGAAAGTTGTTCTGATTCTGCGAACGTCTTTAACTAAAACAAATAAGGCAATTGATTTTTTTTAGAGGAAACAGCCAACAGATAGTTGCAGAAGTGTCTATGAACGCAAACTAATTCAAGACCAAGTTTATGTAAATTTTACTTATTTTTACTTATTTAACAATAATAAATAAACAAGGATAGCCGGTTATTGTGCAAGTAGCACAGAAAGTTCCGATCAAAGTCTTTAAATAACTACAAGAAATTTTTTTGATATGAAAAAAAAATTTAGGCATATTCGACAATAAAAGTAATATAGGCAAACAAGACAAAAGTTTTCAAAGAAAAACAAAAAAAAACATAAAAAATCCAAAGAAATAATTCAAACTTTTCTCAATTTTTATTGCATAATTTTTAATGAACTTTTGATTCCCAAAACGGCATTGAAAATCTCCAAAAACTAATTTAACTCGAGTAAAATAATCAAAATAAGCTATTGTAAACGGCCTAAGCTGAGCATAAAAAGCGTGCTCACTCGCATTACTTGCTCGAAATAAGACGAAAATTCAATCAGGTTTTTCTCAATACTGGAAAAAAATTCATATTTCCTAAATTTCGCTAGAATCGTGACTGGAAACACTTTAATATGATATATCACTCAACTCTCTGCGATGATTATTCGTGGTACCTGATTTTGAGTCCAGAACAAAAAAAAAGAAAACAAAGCTAAAACACTCGAATACAAAGTTTTTGAAATGGTCGGAACAACAATTATAAACGATTAGCACCAATAATGAAATATTTAAAATTATTACATGAAAGCTTACCATAGGTTGTCACAGTGTATTTGTCCTTGTAAAATAATTTTTGAAAACATCTTATTATTTACTTTAATTTCTATAGGTCAAAATATTATCTGATGATAATGCTGCCATGAATGTTAATCCATATTGCAACTGGTCTTTGAAAAAAATCGACATAATTTTCATAATATCTTTTGATAACGAATGACTTTTTGTTTTTAGGCTTGATTCAATTTGTTTCTAAAAGTGACACTATTTTCTAATCAAGAATCTAGAGATTTTATTTGATTTTTAAATGGGACGTTGAACCGTATCTTGAATAATCGCAACATTTATATATTGCCGAACTAAATATGCTTTTCGGAAGAAATTGCGAAACTTAAAAAAATTGCACTCAGGAGAACTGCTGGGCAATTTAGATGACTACTGACAAGTGCAGTCACAAGTAATTTTCTGGTTTTAATTAGTTTTGACTTTTTGATTAATTGTAATGATTTTATTCTAAAAGCCATTTTCTAAATATCTTATATTTCTGCTCGTAATGTTAAGAGTTGACCGAGAACTACTAATATATTTAACTTCTGTTTTATCTTCTTTAGTGTTCATCTTTTAAAAATCTTCTTTGAATTTTTTCGACTGAAGATAAGTTCTGTTTTTTCAGCATTCACTTTAAAGGAATGTGATTCGATGTATTGTGATAACATTTCTAGCTCTAATCCAAATCCTGAAGTGACAAATTTAGAAATTGGTGTTCACAGAAGAGGACCATGTCGCAGGTTTATTGCACAGGAATCAGGTATTTGTTTAATTAGTCTATTAATGTAACAAAAATTTAAAAAATTAGGGATCCTAAAAAGCGGGACTGATGAAGAGAAATCCTATCTAATTCAACACTGCTGACATTTTTTCTGTTGACGTTTCCTGATTTAAAAAACTATTATTGTAATTGCACTTTCGGAGATTTCTATCCTAAATTTCTATCCTTTGTTGTGAGAATCTGTGATAAAAAAAATTCAATGCTTCGAAAAAATCTAATGAAGAGCAGGCAAAATATCTGTTACGAACAATTGCTTTTCAAAAATGTTCTGTGCAATATCAAAAGCGTTGATTGTTAAAAGGAGGTTCTGAATCCGAATGCTTATTGCTTAGATTGTTAGATATTAGATACACATTATTTGTCGTTTAGGTGTTGTTCGAAAACTTTGCCCCAGTCATGAAACTGTTCGGTAGTTCTCTGAATCGTCTCTTTTATCAATTGGTGGACCAACTGCGTAGTTGAAAAACTCTTAAGTATTACTTTAATCAGGTTTTTATTCAGAAGGAATGTTAGACACGTGTAACTTTCATTGCATCTATCTTTCCGAGACCATGCTGGAATGTCAGAACCCGTGGGTTTTCGGAATCAGGATTCAGCAAATCTTTTTTACACTCAACGCCAAAGAAAAACCTGAATGTAAAAATTGTTATTGCTCTTTAAAAACCTCATATCTTTTTTGACAAATACTCAACCTAGTGTTGAACATTTATGATGATTGCCATTTATAGTCAATTGTTATTGCTTCTCCGCAAGCAATTTTTCGAAAGGCAAATGCATTTGGGCAACTTTCTGGCGACATTGATGAAATTTAAATTTTAGCGTTGTCTTTTTTATAGAGAAAAGCTGTGAACTGTTCTGGTCATACTCCACACTTAATCTAGGTTTAACGTTTCATAAAAACAAGATTAAGACGTGAAGTTCTTGATTGCATTGACAAAACGAAAAAGAAAAACGTACATCTGTTTTAAGAAAAATTAATAATTAATTGGATTTATCAAAAGCCGTGTGCTTTATGGGTACTTCAACACGTAAATTGAGTTCAGTTAAAAATAAAGTGGCTAATTCGTCCGTTTTAATTGACGTTATGATTATGATTGACCTTTTAGATTGGTCTCTTATGCTATAACCAGTCATTATGTAGTATATTTCAGTTTTTAGATGTGTTGGTGTAGTTCTACAGGTTTGTTCAAGATAATATAGGATTAAATTTGTATAGAGAGACAATTTCTCATCTGAGTTCGAATTATAATTTTTTAAATTGACCAGATTAGAAAAGTATGATTGAGCATAGTCAAAGGTGTTATCCGATTTTTCGATGAACTCAACTTTACTCCTTTAATTGGATTTTGTGAGAAGGGTTGTTCTTCCATTCTCATTCGATTAATGTTTTAATTCAACCTGGATGCTTTCATAAATTTTGTAGCGTATTTAGGACCTGACGAATCTTTGCGTTCGTGTTTTTGGTACAAATGGCATGACATTTCATTTTAGTTCTACTATTGAGTACTTTGATAAAATGCATTTGCAATATATTGAGTACTTTCCTTTATTTTTCGTCTTTGACTCGTTAAACCAGGTTTCTTATTAATCAAAAAGAAACTGTTTTTTTTTTTAAATAATAACTAGAGGTCTGATCGTTTTCGGTGCAAGCTCTTTGTTTAGATACAGAACCTTGATGCTGACACTGTAATTCTCCAATTTTTTTGGGATGTTTCATGCTTTCTAAAAACCCGGGTTTGAATAAAAGTCTCCAGCGACAATCTGTTATTTTTTTCAAAAAAATTATAAACATCATAATACTAAAACATAAAGAATTTATTAACACACACGCCAAGCAGAGCTTCGCACTACTTGGGATACAACGCCAACAAGAAAACATACATCGAAAATAAATAAACACTGTTGAAAAATAACAAGGTGAAAAGCCAATTAAAAGACAAGTAGGGTCTCAATTGAAGACAACAGGTCCTTTTTTGATATTGAATGAATTGGTTATACAGATGCGGGACGAAACGCGTAATTTCAAAAATTGGACTATGTCAAAAAACGTTGTTTCTCCCATAAAATAAGCGAGAGCAATTTTATGAGGGATTGAAATTTTCCCAAAAACATAACATTTCTCTTTTTTAAAAAGTAATCGCTGTTTCCACAGGAAGTTTTTAATAAAAATCAATAAGTTTACGATTAGGACCATTTATCGACGATGGAAAGTTATCAAATAGGAATTCTTGGTAAACAAGGCGAGCAAAACATTTGCAATTTGAATAAGCAACGAAACAAAACTTACGAAGCAGAAAAAACGCCGAACAGTCTTCGAGCAGACAAAAGCTGAGCCAGAAAATGACTTCAAAAACTTCAAATTTCCTAAAACTACAATGAAAATAATTTGGAAGTATTATTATACTTGCTGAAAATGCAAGACAAATCCGTGATGTCGCAGATGAGCGAAAGTCCGACAAATCAATTTTTACCGGAAAAATTTAAATTGCATACAAATTTAAATTTACATTCTGGAAAAATCCCTGACTTAAGAGGGCAAAGGCGACTAGATTATCTTTAGGCCAAGTTCGAAAGAAACTGGAAGCTGCTGAAGTTCAATAAAAAGGCAAATTAAAAACTTTTGGGAAAAGCCTAGTTCCCGATTAACAGACACTTTGCTTCCGCAAGTCTAATAATTGTAACAGACGCGCATGATAGTCGAAAGCTGCTATCTAAAAATGCGCAAGGTTCTCACTGCATAAAACATTTTAGGATAAACTTTGATTTTCTATGGAAAATTGTTATCATTTCTTATTAAAACAATTGTAAGCACAGAGGCGAAGCAGAGCTTCGCACCACTTGCGAACAAACATCAACATACCTAAGAAGTCGAAAAAAGGGAAAAGCAGTTCACAGCTTAAATTTTCCTATGTCTCGATAGAAGTTCATTCGACGCTAACATGCCAAAAATTTCAAAAATGAATAAGCAACGGAACAAAACTTACGAAAAGGAAATAAATCAGGAAATCTTTGAGCAGACATAAGTTAAGCAGAAAAAAAGATTTCATAAGAAATCATTAGTTTTAAGTCCCACATGAGACTAGGAAAAGCAACAATTGCACTTCCACTTCCAACTACAGAAGAAGTTGCCTACATCAAAAGAAAAGAAAAATCAGTGATGTGGCAACTGAGCCGACAATCTGTTGAGCACCTGTTGAGCCGAAAAACAAACGTTTCGAGTCCAACTCCTTGAGTCTACAAAGCACTTGCACCGAAACTTGCTTGCAGGAGAAACAAAATGTGCTGTGTCAACTAGGGCGACAAAATTTAAGCAGAATAACGGAAGTGTAGCAACTCAAATTTTACCGAACTTTTTTCTATTGCTTATATACTGAAAAAAAAGGTCCGGCCGAAAGTCGAACCCCAAAGCTTAAGGTACAACTAAAGATCGAACC